TTTCCAAATTATTTTGATAGGGTTGTGGTCAGCCCATATGTTAGGCATAATTTCTACGTTGTGTGTTTCTTTACTTAGTTGGGGTGTCATCCAGGCCATATCCAATCTTGACCACGATTGATGTGGGCCAGAAAAGTATGTGTACTGTTTGGTTGTAGTATTTAATTCTCGCCAGGTGTCATGTAGACTCATTTCTTGTACCAAGTTCTTAAATGTTTGTGGCAGTGTCTTCCTTTTGATTTTGTTCTTCCTGTTACTATAGTAGTCTTCTCGTGTGTTGGCAATTGCATTAAAATCTCCGACAATGCAGATATTTTCATAGTCCAGCTCTTTTAATTTGTCATGTAGTTTTTTATAAAAGTCTATTTGGTTTCCATTTGGGGCGTAGATGGCTACTAACAGTATTATTTTTGTTTCCAGTTTTACTTCTATTATTAAGACTCGACCCTCTTTGTCCACATATATCGGCTTTGTTCTTATATGGTCTCTAACATATATTACCACTCCCCTTTTTTTACAGTCGCCTAAGGATGTGTACATTACTCCTAATTTTTTATTTTCGAGTAATTTTTTCTGTTGTTTTTTTATGTGTACCTCTTGTAAGGTGATTATATCTGCTCCTAATTTTTGCAGTTTAGTGAAAATCTGATGTCTTTTGCTTGGTGAATTTAGACCATTTATATTTATAGAGATGAGTTTTAGTTCTTCTTCCATTCCTGGTGTTGTTTATTTGTCTGTTATTTTGAGTTTTGATGTGTTTCTTGTAACTCTTTGTGTGATCCCCGTCATTTCCTCCTTCCCCGGCTTTCCCTTCTTCCGTTCCTTGTCCTCCTTATTTATTGGCTGCTCTTCTTGGTCACTGGGGTTTGAATCTTCTCTGCCTCCTCTGCTCTCCTGTTCTCCTTCATATCCTAAATGTTGGTCTGCGAAGTCCTGGGCTTTTTCTATGGTGTCGATTCGAAATTTTCTTCCTTCCCAAGAAATGAGTACTCCTTCTGGTATAAGCCATCTAAATTTAATCTTGAGTTTATTCAACTGTCGTGTTAAGAAGTTATATTCTCTTCTCCTATCCCTGGCCCTTCTCGGTACTTGTTTTAGCGTTAGAACTTCCCTCCCTTTGTACATGACTGTCTCCTCTCTCATCTTTCGGTATATTTCTTCTTTCATTGTTTTTTTTGTAAATCTGATGTGCACTTCTTTAGGGAGTTTGTTTCTTCTGGCATAGTTTGTGAAGGCCCTGTAAATTTCGTCGATGCCACCTCTTATTTCATCTTTATCCTTATGTGTCACCTCTGCCAAGATTCCAACCATAATTTCACCCAAGTCTTCCTCTCTCTGTTCTTCTATATTTTGAAATCTTAAGTAGAAAGATGCCTTTTCCATTTCAAGAAATGTAAGTGCATCTTCTGTGTCTCGGCTTCTTGTTGCTTGTTGGTTCTCCATCTGTTCCAACCTGGTAGCTGTGGCTTCCGCCTTTTCCTCAACTTTATGGATTCTCTGTTCATTTTCGGTTATATTTTGTTGAATTTTCTCTATTTTTTCATCTATATTTCTAATCTCATCTTTAATTTCCCCTACATCCAATCTCATTTGTTCATGGTTCTTTTTCGTTTCATCATGATTCAGGGTCATCTTATCTTCCATCCTTTTCATTCCCTCCTGAATCATTGCAAGGGCAGCTTGGATATTTTGAATACCTATGTTGGTCTTTTCTTTATCTGTTGTTTCCCCTGTCTTCTGCTGGATCGGGGAAGCCACCAATAGTGTTTGGGTTGGGGGCATTTTCTTGGTTGATTTAATAGTAGTTGGTATGTTTGAGGTTGCCATATCTATTATGCTTATTATTTTTGCCCACAATTTCATAAAATTCTCACGTCTAATGTTTATAACCTGGATGCAGGATTATTTTTACAAGGTTTTTTCAGAGTATTTCTAATTAGTAATACGATATTGGGAAAACAGCAAAAAGGAAGGCGGGGGGGGAAGCAAGAGAAGGGGGGAACAACGGGGAAAAAGTAAGCTTCTAACAATTCATTAATTACCTTATTCTTCAATTACTTACAAAATAAAATGTATTTTATTATAATAGTTCTAAATTAGTATCAATATCAATTTAATTATTATAATTCTATCTAATTATTTAAAATCATTTACTGTATATGAATAAATTAATTAAAGATAATTAAAGATAATATTCTATAATTGTTTAATTAATTTCAAATAGACAAATTAGACAGACTACTTCAGAGAAAAACTAATAAGTTATTAAAGGTTATTTTCCGGGTCTAGTATCTTATAATATATAGTAGAATAGACTTAAATCGAGCTAAGCATATATATATTGTCCATTAATTATAGTCTCTTATCTTTCTTAGTGTTATGTAAACTTATCTTTCTTCCAACCAAATACGGTTCCAAAGGTCTGAGTCACCCTATTCACTTTAATTGTTCCACGATCCAATTTAATCTATAGTCCTCTGTATTCCTGTTGTTAGAATCCAGATCCAATCCCAAGAGTGTAATGTTGTATCCTCTATTTAAGTCCTTATCATCTGGTTCATCAAGTATTAATCAATATTTAAATTGTTCAATCCAAACAGTTCAGTCTCTAGTAGTCAAATAATCAAAGTCAAAGTCCCTCACACTTTGTATCAGTTTTGTATCCTAATCTTCACAAGAAGTATCACTAAAAGATAGTTTGTATAAATCAGTAAAATCCAATACGATCAATTTGTAGAGATCCGTCCAGGCTCCTCTCCTCTCCTCCGATCTCCGGCACTCCACACTGCACACGCTGTCCCCGCTCGCTCCGATGCTGCACGTTCTGTTCTTATTTGTCCAACTCTCTCCACTCAATCCAGTCTCCCACAAGCTTTTCCTCTTTCGAATTATCTAGTTCAATCCACACTGGCAACTCCACATCAGTAAAGTCCAATACGATCAGTTTGTAAAGGTCCGCCCAAGTTCCTCTCCTCTCCTCCGATCTCCAGCTCTCCTCGCTGCACACGCTCTCTCCGCTCACTCCGATGCTGCACGGTCCGTTCTTGTTTTATTTTTTATCCAATTCTCTCCACTCAATCCAGTCCACATTTATAAAATCCAATACTAATATCCAAGTCTTTTTAAATTATTCTCTATTCTCGTCGCAGTATTCATAGGAATTACCTCCTTCCGCTCTTCCACTCTCACTGTACACTCAGCTGTTCGAATTTTTGCGGTGTCACTTTGCTTTCAAAATGGCTCCGTTCCGATCTATCTTCCGTCGCCGCTTATCCTCTTTCTTTTTTCGGGTTTCTCTTCCACCAGCGCTGCTTCTTACTATCAGGTAATTTTTTGGGGTTTTCTAGTTAAGGATCTTCTGTTGATGACCTCTTATAGCTTTCAATCTTCGCTTCCCTCTTATACAGTTATCAGCGCCTCCGGCCAGCCCCGTAAGGCTGGTTTTTCCTCACTCTGGATTAAGGGCTTTATCTTGTACCTTCGGAGAAGTTGCGATCTCCTCCGAGGTCCTAAGATGTTCCCCTTTAAACTATTGATCACTACGAGATCAATAGCGCCTGTTTCGGCTCCAGATGCGGGATTGTTAGGGACTCAGGAGCGGAGCTTCACCCCTTTCATCCCTAACGCGCTGAGATCGCCGCCGGAAGTCGAGGGTTTAATTATTTGTAAGCATCCACAGGCAAAGGGGGAGCAAGTTCAAATAAGTAAACTCGTGTTCTTATTTTGATTGCTGAAACACAGCTTTAGACATCCAACAAACCCTTTTGTCAGTACAAAAGGAGGAGGAGCTTCTGAAAGTCCACTGATCATGACCTCTGTCGTGGCATAACTGCCTGTTAAGAGTTTATTTAACCAAGAGAAGCTTTTCAGAAACTTAAATTTCATTTAACAAACCTCCCACCCCCCACTTCAAGCAATTTTAATTTAACAGTAATGCATTTCAGCAACAGAATAGCAACACTTTTCCAAGAGTGTGATAGCTGTAGAAAGAGAACCATGTTAGTTTGTTGTGGCAAAAAAAGTAACAAGAGTCTGGTAGCACCATTTCTAGCTAACCAACTTTATGAAAAGGCTTACATTTTCATAAGATGTAGCTCACTTTATCAGATGGCTAAATTGATATAATATGTTAAAAACCCCTACCTTGCTCTTTGTTCCCCAGGCTATGGGGTGAAATGATCATTTAAACCATTCTGGAGCATTCATTCTATAATTAGGATGACCCAGTTTGATAATCTCTTGTTCCAAATTCCAGGGGTTGAAACATCCCAGGGATATTACAGTTCAGAGTGATTACAGGAAGGTTGGGTCAGTCTCACTGATCAATCAGAACTATGTCTGACAAATCAAATATGCTGAGAATGAGAAATTTGACAAGTTGAAGAAGATAGGAAGCTAGGAATGCAAGAGAAAAGCCCACTGCGTTCAGAAGAAACAACTGAGCAGGCGAAGCAAGCAAATGAATTGTAATGAAATGGCCCCTTCTAAATTATGCACTGTACATTCCACAAGCATTGTCTTCTTATTTTACCTCTTTTAGCTGCTTTAACTTTTTAAAATGCAAAGAATTGAATAAGGTTATATGATTTTACTGCCCCTTTCCCCCCCCCCACAAATAACAGTGCAAACTATTAATGCTGGATGAAGGGACTTTCCTTTCCATCTGCCTGTCTACCTTCTGGTTCGATAGCACAAAAGCTTGCATGTTTCTTCAAAGAAGAGTTCTAGGAGGGAATAGTCTAATAGCAGATGAATATGTGCGCAAAACTGTACCAGGGTCCTGTGACTTGTAAAATGCATTTCAATTGAGTGTCATTTTTTGTTCAAACAATTTTAATTATTGGAATGCACATTTTTTGAAGATGTAAATAAAATGTTTTAAAACCTAGTGGAAAAAAAGGAAATATTCCAGCCACCCATGACTGCCTTGGTATCATCTAGGTTGTTCAACTGTTTTCTTTGTCCCTGCATCAATGTGATTGTTGTATCTGTGGTCCTAGTTTCCCTCCTCAGGAGCCTGAAACATGCCAATATTGTGCTCTTTCATGACATCTTCCAGACCAAAGAGAGCCTGACTTTAGTCTTTGAGTACATGGTGAGTGGCTTTTCATCAGATTTGTTCATTTGCTTATTGAAGGAAGCAAACCCTCTTGTTTTTCAGTGCTTCACGGGATTTTACAGCAGTATGGAATGGATTCATCACAGTGAATGTTGCTTTCTGCATGCTTTTGACCCTTGTCCTTGAGATTGGCCTGCTCTCGTTTGTATTTTAAGGTCTGCCTTATGTGACCTGAAGCAAGCAGGAGCTGATTGTTTTCGCAATTACAGTCAATGCATTCAAGGTGCTCTTTTCAAAGATTTGTTTCCTAAATTCAATTCACTGCCTTTCCATCGCTTCTCAGGATTTTACCATTCATCTTTATCATTTTATGTGTCACTATCTTGATTTTTTTTTTGACCCCTCTCTGTGGACATCTCTGATTTTTGCTTTTGGACAGTTCAAATATTTCTCAGCCTCCACCCATTATGGTGCTATGCTTGTAAGTGATTTGGGAGAGTATTATACAAAGATTTAATCCAGAAATGAACAATGAAGAAAGCAGATAGAGGTTTTCTTCACCTGGTTTCCCAGCAGAGGGTTTCATGGGGTTGACTAAGAAGAGGTCACTTTCTATTCAGTAATTTTTTTGTTTTTCAAATGTAGTTGAGTTGTACTTTGATAAAGAACTTGCAAAAAATTTCTGGACTTGATAATTAACTCTTATTTCTTCTGCATCTATTTAGCATACAGACCTGGCCCAGTACATGTCTCAGCATCCTGGGGGCCTTCATCCTCATAACGTTATGGTATGTTTTTGAAGAAACATGTATGTTAAAGGCATGTATTATGAACAAACATTATTAACAAGCTTAGCATATTAGGATTACCAATTTATTTTAAGTATATATTTTCTCTTTCTTGCCTCTAGTTCCAACTGTGTGATTATTTTGTATTAACAAGTATGAAACAGAAACCAAGATTTATTTTATTCCCCGTTGCGGAGTTGAAGTGCACTTTCTTGAGTCAGTCAGCAGAAAACTGCAACTGTCCCCATTGTTAATCCCTATCCTGCATCACCTGATTTCACTCCAAAGAATGGATGACAAAGCCTCACAGATTTAAAAACCTGGAGGCTGTTTTTGGATGGTGTGGGAATCTGCTTTGTTTATAGTTTCAGACAAGATTAAGGAAATGTGATGAGGATAGGGCAGAACAAACCTGTTGCCAAGACATGCTTCTGCTGTTATACGCAAGCAGGAAAGACTGTATTAATCTCCAGAATGCCTTCATAATATGAAGTTTGGATAACCTGTCAGGTGCATACAGCCTTCCACCCTGCATATTATAGCCTTAGCCACTGATTCTTAAGACTATATTCTCTCCTTCCTGCCCCCAAGGATGTCAAATGATTGCATGAAATGTTTGTGAAGTGTAATGCTCCTGTATTACACTTTTGTCCTTCCTCAAGCCCTCACCAAACAAAGTTACACCATATTGCTAGCCATTCGTTTATGATCCCAGAATCCAAAATCAAGAAAAAAAAATGCTTATTCTTCTTAATATAAAGATCCTTCACCATGGAAATCTGCAAAATAAATCCCCACCATGATACAGATCCTCGATTTACGACCACATGGAGCCCAAAATTTCTGTTGCTAAGCAAGACATTTGTTAAGTGAATTTTTATTACCTTTCTTGGCACAGTTGTTAAGTGAATCACTGCAGTCGTTAACAAGGTTGTTGAGTGAATCTGGCTTCCCCATTGACTTTGTATGTCACAGGGGTGCAAAAGGTGATCATATGACCCCAGGACACTGCAACCATCATAAATGTGAGTCAGTTGCCAAATGTTTGATTTTTGATCACATAACCATGGGGATGCTGCAATGGTTATAGGTCATTTTTTTCAATGCCATTATAACTTCAAATGGTAATTCTTGTAAGTCAAGGACTACCTGTATTCTGATGGCTTTTGATTCATTATTTAGTCACTAATGCATCCCCAAATTTAAATCATGATTAAACAACTGAAGTTCTGCTTAACTGCTTGCTTTGTTGTTGTTGCTTTATTTTCAAGAAGGAAGTAATTCAATATCTGTTTTCAAAAGAAAACACATTTTATCCAGTTTATAAAGAACTCATTATTTAAAGCACCTGTAGTGTGCATGTGGATGAAACCGTGGATTTTCCCCCCTTTGTGATGTTAGTTGTTGCATCTCATGTACAAAGATCCTTTGGAGGCTTTGACAGTGACAGCATCAGAAAGGGGGGATTTGAAGTCCTCCAGGGTCTTACAGTGCATGAAGTCATTTTGACAGAGCACTTTGGTTCAAACATCATTTTCACCCCCAAACCATCAGGAACGTTCTGGGGCCACTTATATCCTCGGTGTTATGTCCATATATGGGCATCCCCGCCGGATTGGCTAGTCCACCGGCGGGAGATTTGAAGATCTGTCATTGGCCGGCTTGCCTGCCGACTCCCTGTATAAGGCGAGCCCGGCAGCACAGTCGGCTGTCCTGTTTCTCTCTGAATAAAGTGCTGAACGGACCACTAGCTGCTCGCGTATTCTTTCCCTGCGCCAATCTAACACTGGCGATGAAGGATTTCAAGAACCACAGTGAAGAACCTCGTGGCACGATCGCCACCCAGCCCGACTCAACAGAGCAAGTCACTGAGCTGGAGTCACTTAGAGCTGATAGCATGAGAACCATGGCAGTGCCACAAATCTCGCTGGGACCATTCAACCCCGATCAGGAGAAGTGGAAAACCCATATGATTAGGTTGCGCCAATTCCTGACTGGCAACGGCTATGAAGACCTGGAGGACAACCGCAAACGAGCCTTGTTCCTGGCACATTGTGGATCGGCACTCCTGGAGATGGCCATCAACCTTGTGGCACCCCAGGACATCGAGACCATGGCATGGAACGACCTCCAAGACGTCCTCCAGGAACACTACGCCCCAACTGGCACACTGATGGTGAACAGATTCACCTTCAGCCAACAGAATCAGCAGGAGGGCAAATCCATAAAGGACTTCATGGCAGCACTGCGGAAGTTGGTTGCCAACTGCGAGTTTGATCACGTGGACAACGCCATCCGAGATCGCATCGTTTTTGGGATGTGGGACATCTCCCTGCAGAGAAAGTTGCTGAACAGGAGAAAGGTCTCGCTAAAAGACGTAATTGAAGAGGCCACAGCCGCAGAAACATCAGAGGTGGCAGCGGCAGCGATGCGGAGAGCCAAGGCAGTCCACAGAATTAAGAAAGCCCCCCAGACCTCATCCGAGGAATCCACCATGGGATCCGAATCGGACGAGGAAATGGCGGTCCATAAGGTCTCCAGACCACCAAGACCACACAAAATGGCAACTGAGGGGAGAGCTGTGCCAGCTGCAACGGCGACCACGTGAGAGCCAGATGCCGGTGGAGAGATGCGACCTGCCACCGTTGCCAACGAAAAGGCCACATCGCTGAGGCCTGCAGAGCTCCAGAACCAGTCGGGAGAAAGCCAAGCCGGAAAACCGCAATAACCAGAGGACATCCAGACGGTCCTATCAACCAAGGCGCGAGGGAGACGGGTACCCGTGAAGCAGAGCGGTCCACCAAACCACTATTGCCCACACCGATGACCACAATGCCACAAAGTTCATCATGACGGTGCACGTGGAAGGGACTCCATGTGCCATGGAAGTAGATTCGGGCTCAATCTACTCCATTATGGACTGGCAGCATCTCAAAAGGCTGAAACTGCAGATCTCAAAGAGCCAACTGCAGCTGCTTCACGCAAGGCTCGTCGATTTTGGTGGAAACCCCATCGGGGTCCTGGGGAGAGCTTCGCTGAGTGTCAGCTACCATGGCTTCAAGGGCGACCTACCCATCACCATCGTTAAGGACAGCTGCCTGACCCTGCTTGGAGTGGAGTGGTTCGAGCCTCTAGGGCTCTCAATCAAAGGAATCCATCAGATTCAGCAGGATGAACTCGACAAGCTCCTCGAAGAGTTCAAGGATGTCTTCGACGGCAGCTTAGGTAAATTTTTGGGGAGACCCATCTCTTTCAATTTAGATACCTCAATCACCCCAATTTGGCTCAAGCCTCGCAGGGTTCCATTTGCACTTCGGCCTAAGGTAGACGCTCAGTTGGATAAACTGATTGCCCAAGGCATATTGGAACCAGTCGATCATGCTGCATGGGAGACCCCCATTGTGACCCCACTGAAGCATGATGGATCTGTGCGCATCTGTGCTGACTATAAATGCACCATTAAAAGGGTATTATAGCAGAGCGCATACCCAGTACCAGTGGTGCAGTATCTGTTGCATTCACTCGGGAGTGGGACCATATTTGCAAAACTGGACCTGGCCCAGGCTTACCAGCAACTGCCAGTTGACGAAAAAACTGCGGAGGCTCAGACTATTGTCACTCACCGGGGCACATTTAAATGCAACCGCCTTCAATTTGGAGTCAGCGCAGCCCCTGGCATTTTTCAATCGATGATGGAGTGCCTTCTCCAAGGCATTCCAGGGGTGGTGCCGTACTTTGATGATGTACTAATCTCCGGCACCTCCAGATCTCAACTCTTGGAACGGCTTAGGCTCACCCTAAAGTGGTTCCAAGAGAAGGGTTTGCGTGTGAGGAGAGAAAAGTGCATCATTGGGGTCCAGGAGGTCGAGTTCCTGGGCTATTTAATAGATAGCACTGGCATACACTCCACCAAATCTAAGGTCAAGGCAATTCATGAAGCTCCGGCCCCCAAAAACAAGCCAGAGCTTCAGGCTTTCTTAGGATTGCTAAATTTCTATAGCGTTTTCCTTAAACAGAAAGCCATGATTGCTGACCCACTCCATCGCCTTCTGGGAAAAGCGGCCCCTTGGAAGTGGGGTAGAGCCGAAGAAACCGCTTTCAAGAACGTCAAGGGGCTCCTATCCTCAGACAGCGTGCTGATACAGTATCACGAGACGCTTCCGCTGGTATTGACCTGCGATGCGTCTCTATATGGAGTCGGGGCTGTTCTCAGCCACCCACTGCCCAACAACACGGAAGCCCCCATCGCCTTCTTCTCTAAGACCCTGGCGGCAGCTGAGCGCAACTACAGCCAGCTGGATAAGGAAGTCTTGGCCATCGTGGCTGGCATCAAGCGCTTCCACGAATACTTCTATGGGAGGGCATTCGAAATCATCACTGACCATAAGCCCCTCCTCGGGCTATTTGCAGGCGACAAACCAACACCGACATATATGTCACCCAGGATGACGCGCTGGGCCATTTTCCTCACCGGGTATTAGTACACTCTCACACACAGACCCGGTAAAGCCATCAGTAATGCGGATGCCCTCAGTAGGTGCCCAACGCAGGAACCGGTGGAAGACCCCGCACCCACCCTCGGCCTTTTCCAATCGACAGAGACCTGCAGTGCCCAGTATCTTCCACTGACATGCCAGCCCACACGAAGAAGGAAAAGACCCTCAGGCAAGTCATGTCCTGGGTCCTGAGGGGTTGGCCAACAGAAAAAGTGGGCGAAGAGTTCAGCCCTTTCTTAAGAAATCAGCAAGAACTCTCAACTATGAAGGGCTGCCTACTCTGGGGCGACAGAGTAGTGATACCACGACCGTTGCAGAAGAGGACCCTGGAGAGCTTTCACATTGGGCACCCGGGCATCGTGAAGATGAAGGTGCTGGCCAGAAGCTACGTCTGGTGGCCCACCATGGACAAGGACATTGAACATTGGGTATCCAGATGCGCCCCGTGCCAGGAGGTCAGACCAGCACCAGCACAAGCCCAACCTACAGAATGGGAGACACCTAGTGCCCCCTGGTCCCGCATTTACATTGACTTTGTGGGGCCTATGGCAGGCAAATACCTCCTCATCGTAGTGGATGCATTCTCCAAGTGGCTGGAGGTCATCCAAATGCCCACCATCACCACCGAGGCAACCGTCCGGGCCCTGCGCAGACTCTTTGCCACCCATGGCATTCCGGACGTCCTGGTGTCAGACAACGGGCCACAGCTCACCGCCAAGCCGATGGAATTGTTCCTGGCCGAGTTGGGCATCTGCCATGCCCTCATTGCACCATACAGGCCGGCTGGAAATGGACAAGTTGAGAGGATGGTGAGGCTCACCAAGGAAGCCCTCACCAAGATGGGCACCGGGGATTGGCAGAAGAGGATCGATAAATTCCTCTTCACGCAGCATATCACCCCGCACGCCACCACACACAGAAGTCCAGCCGAATTACTCATGGGGAGGAAGCTGAGGACACCATTGGACTGGCTACACCCCCCGTACAACCCCCAAGAACCAGCGAGCGGAACCCGGCCGCCGTGCACCTTCACCGTGGGAGACCCGGTCTATGCTCTCAACTTCCGCGAGCCTCCGAAGTGGCTGAAGGGAGTGATCAGCAGAACAACAGGCCTGAGGTCGTACCAAGTGGAGCTGGGAGACAGGCAGATCCGGAAAAGGTGGAGGGAAAGCGGCGGAAACGGCGAAAACCAGTCTGACAAGGTAGGCCTATACCACCCCGACGAGGTAGGCTTGCACCACCCCGACGAGATAGGCTTACCACAACCAGATGAGGTAGGCCTATGCCACCCCGACGAGGTGGGCCTACAACACCCCATCCAGGTAGACCTACCACACCCAGACGAGGTAGGCCTACACCACCCAGACGAGGTAGGCCTGCGCGACCCCGACACGGTAGGCTTACCACAACCAGATGAGGTAGGCCCTACAACACCCCGCCAGGTAGACCTACCACACCCAGATGAGGTAGGCCTACAACACCCAGACGAGGGAGACCTCCGACACCCCGGCAAGGTCGGGCCGCTCCAAACCGGCGGAGCAGGCCAGCTACCACCACCGGAACGCGAGGACCCCCAACAACAATCATGACGGCTGCAGCGACAACCAAGACCAAGGACCCGGACGACAGTGGACGCCTCTAGCGCTGAAAACCAGCCACAGAGTGAAGGGAAAAGAACCATCGACTTACCGGGTTCCTGGCGTCCAGTCCTGATCAGCGGCGAGTTGCAGGGGCCAAGGCATCGTTCCCTGGGGCCGCTGTGGAGTCCTGAGAACCCAGCCGGAGGTGCTGGGCTGGAGCCTGCACACTTGATGGCCGAGTTCCAGACGGTTCCAAGACGGGAACAGGGAGAGATAAGAACCTCGTTTGCATGGATCGACAGCGAGGCAAGAAGTGATCTGCACAGATCAGATAGGATGGGGAGGTGCCCCGCCTAACTGCGCGACTACGTCACGTACGTGGCCATTGGAGAGACGGACTAGGAATTAGGAGGGGAGGGGTGTTATGTCCGTATATGGGCATCCCTGTCAGATTGGCTAGTCTACCGGTGAGAGATTTGAAGATCTGTCATTGGCCGGTTTGCCTGCTGACTCCCTTTATAAGGCGAGCCCGGCAGCACAGTCGGCTGTCCTGTTTCTCTCTGAATAAAGTGCTGAACGGACCACTCGCTGCTCGCGTATTCTTTCTCTGCACCAATCTAACACTCACCACTGCTCAAAGTATTCCTCATCAGTCCACCTGCACCCCCTGCACAAACATCTGTAAATAATCTATGCCTTTTCCACACCCTCCATGTTTACATGTTTCTTTCTTACTAAGTACAAACACAGCTGATTTCCGTGAACTGGCAAACTAGTGGTGAAGTTTCATGGCAGGTGGAAGAACATCCTTTTCTTATTCTATTATTTATTCTTTAGTTTCAAGGATAAAATACAAAACAAAGAAAAAGAAAGAAAAAGAAAACAAACTAACAAACATTTGATATCAACAAGAAAAACAAAAAACATGTGTACAACCCCCCTAAATATCAAATACATTATTGACAACTAACATGAAACATTATTGTCAACATTATTGACAACTAACATGAAACATTAAAAAAAAAATTCCACCCCACTGAATGCTTACAAATATATCAAAAAGATCTTCAAAAAAATTGCACTTTTCTATATCTGATAAAAATACTATTACTATTACATAAAAAGGTATCCCTGATGTTGAAATCTGTCTAATAATTGGATTGACCCAACTTCTCTCTCTCTCTCTTTCTCTCTTTCTCTTTCTCTCTCTCTCCCTCTCCCTCTCCCTCTCCCTCTCCCTCTCCCTCTCCCTCTCCCTCCCAGGGAGGGAGCTAGCCCCAAACCCTGCTTTTTCTTTTGCATCAGATTTCTCAGACTTTTTTTCCTTTTGTATTTATTTAGGAAAATCCCCAGGCATCCTAATATGCTTATAAAACAAGGCATCATAAGCCCTTCATATCACTTTTAATATGCTTCTTTAGTTGTTTTATAAACATATTTTTATAACCCACATGAGATTGAATTGGGATGAAAATTCAATTCATAAAGAGAAATGTTTTTTTAACTCTTTCCTCCTTGTTATCAGATCTCCACAATTCCTGTTTTATAACAGTTACAGTACTTATGAAATATTTTATTCATGTAATATATCCTGTAGTTTTGCATGAATACTTTAGCATCTGACATTCATTAGAAACCCCCTTTTTACATTTCTCTTCTATCCCTCACCTTTTTTTTTTTTTACAAAAATCTACATATTTAAACCCTGCAGAATTTTGCTTTCAATAGCTTGGATTAATATCAGGAAAGTAGTGTTTGTTTTATTCTGTGGCAGTCAAGTAATTAGCAACCCAAATTATCTTGGAGTTGAATATAGAAATAGAAGAAACTAAGACATCATTCAGTTACCAAACAGAGACAAAAGAACACAGCCAAATCTTTTGAAAGAGAGTGGGATTTTTAAAGCATGAAAAGAATGCTCACAAATGGATGCATTTTGCCATTTGCCATATAGGGAGTCCTGCATCTTGAAACAACTCCCAAAGTAGCCATAACCAACCAAAATCCCTTTACCAGGAGGGAAACTGATCAGATGGTTCCCAGCTATCTTATCTAGCCTTCTAAATTCTTTCTATGATTTTAGCAAGCCTCACATTATTCTAGCATCCCTTTGGTGGGACTTGGAGCCTCCAGACAAATTCTGGGGCATCTACTGATGCTTGCCATCATTGGAAAAGATTTCTCTGAATTGTTTTTCCCCATTTGAGGCCTTTGGGATATAAGGGTGGAAATAGGCGAGTAGGTTTGCCAGGTGTCCACTATTTGAGCGGACAGTCTGCTTTTTTCACATTATGTTCACTATTTTTTTTCACAAAATAGTGGACATTTTTTTATTCAAAAGCTTTATGATGAAATGGTACGTAATCTAAAGCTGTACAGTCTAAAAGAATAAGGATAGGAGAATCGCGTTTTGTCTTTTTTTTCATAAGTTAGAATGAGACAAAAAATGCGATGAGCAGTTTTTTGGAGTGAAAGTTTTATTTGCCTTACATAAAAAACATTTGCCTGAGAATGCCGTGCAAAAGTTCAAGAAAGAAGCCATCAACGTGTATCAAAGAGCCATTGCGTACCTAGAAAAGTGGTATAATTTCACCGATTCAGTATATGAGACGCTAAATTGTTTCAATCTAATTGATCGCAATAATCCTCCAACTTTAGAAGAAATGACGAACATCTGGTTATTATCACCATGGCAAGAAGAACTTCCACCCAACACTCTCTTCGATGAAATTTCTGCCTTAGAAGAAGTTTATATTCATCTGCAGGGCGATTCATCCCTTGATAAGTGGACGTACTTTTTCAAGAAAGAGCCAGCTCCGGGTTTACTGAAACTGTTCCAGTGTTGTGCATCAATCCTGGTATCAAATGCAAACGTTGAACGAATTTTCAGTGTCATGGGAAATTTGTGGACTGACGAACATAACCGACTGCTTGTACCATCAGTTCGAAGTGAACTTTGTATATTTTTTAATATTTCTCAACGTTGTACTGAAATTAAAGAATTATTCCTTAAACACGAAGAATTGATCAAAGCTGCGCAGTCAAATAAAAAATACACACGACAGCAAAGTAAAATGTAATTTAATATTTTACATATTATTATAATATATTTGATGTTTTGAATTTTAAGTAAAGTTTTGAAGTGATTATTTTAATACGTGTTAAAATGTTTGTAAGAAAATATATAATTTAATTGTAATTTTTTTTTCACTACTTAACCCCCCCCCCCGCTTGTCCGCTATTTTTTGGAAGCAGACCTGGCAACCCTAGGCATGAGAGACCTCTGCTAGGCAAACTGCTTCCACTTCTAATATCACTCCCCCAAACACCCTGAAGTTAAGCTATTCTGTTGGGTTGTTGTAACTTACATCACCTTTCTTTAGCTCTTGAGTGAAAGATGGATATAAATCTAATAAACAAAATAAAACAGTCCAAAATAGTTTTTTCCCCTAAGGTTGAGCTAATTAATTTTACAATTTCTTTTTGCATTTTAACTTTTCACACTTTTCAAAAAGCTTTATCGCAACATTCTGACATCCTATTCCAGATTGTTTTTCCTCAATATTCTATTCTGTCCATCACCCCAAGTTGCTTTTATTACTCTTCTCTTGGGGAATCCTGGTTTCTGTTTGACTATGGAGGAAAATAAAAATAAAAGCAAATAAATCTCTTCATCCAGCACTTCTACCAGCAAGAGAATAGTTATCTTTCTAGGAACATGTGTTGTGGGTTTTAAACACGTAACTAACTTATAAGGAAGAGTCATTTTATTCATTCTTTCATTCCCTTTCTTTGCCCTGGAAGTTTAAGACACTATCTTACACAACCGTGGCTCTGTTTTCCCTTTTGTTTCCAGCTTTTCATGTTCCAGCTTCTGAGAGGATTGGCTCACATTCATAAGTGCCATATCCTTCATCGAGATCTGAAACCTCAGAATTTGCTCCTAAATTGCTATGGAGAGCTTAAATTAGCTGATTTTGGTGAGTAACCTGGTCCCCATCAGACAGTTATTCAGTAGATGAGTTTCTTGGGTATATAAATTCAGAGCCAAAGAACAGCTTCTGCCTTTAATTCAGCTCAGGCTAAATAGATGTCAATTTAGAAATTTGAGGTAATTAATGTTAGAAACCAAGAACTATATGAAAAAGCAACTGCATTACCAGTATATAGTTGGATAGTTACTTTAGATTATTCACAACAAAAAGATGCAAAATAATTGTAATACAATATCTCTGTGATTTGTGCCCTGCAATTTATTGTATAGACAGGGGTGTCAAACTTGATTTCATTGAGGGCAGCATCAGGGTTGTATTTGACCTTGGGGGGCGGGGGGGCATGGCCAGCTTGATGTCACTCATTGAGGCTCCATTTTGGGCTGCAACAGCCTTCTGCAGCCCACTGCCAGTGAAAATGGAGCCCGGGAGGGCTGCACATGGCCCTCCCGAGCTCCCTTTTTGCTGGCAGAGGCACCACAGGCCGGTCCTTTTCTGTTTCCAGGGTGGGCCCACTGGCCAGATCTAAGCACACTGTGGGCTGAATCCCGCCCCGAGGTCTTGAGTTTGATACCCCTGGTATAGACAATGGGTCAAAATGATAACTGTGACTGATTTAAAAATCCTGATTTTTTTTTCCTCTTCCTTGTCAGGTCTTGCTCGTGCTAAATTTCTCCCCAACCAAACATACTCTGCTGAGGTGGTGACACTTGGCTATCGTCCTCCTGATGTTCTGCTTGGAGCCACTGATTATTCATCAGATGTGGATATTTGGTGAGAACAAGTTTGAACCATTAAGAGGAAGGAAATGAAGCTCAACACACTCATCCACACAATAAGAGCATTTTAAAATATGGAATAATGCCATGAAGAACAGCATACTCTGATTATCAAAAATTACATGGGCTTGAGTTGGAAATTAATTTTTTCCCCCCTCTGAACCCTCAATTGCTAAAAGATTTAAATATTTAATATCAATTGTGTCCCCCAAATGAAATGACATGTTTTAATTTGAGTAGTCTATTATAGAGTAGACTGCTTGCCAAGTGGTAACTAGAGCACTTTAGGAGAAAAATGAAACTAAATCCAAAGAATTCCATAAGCAATTCTATAATCCCTACTTCATACAGTTTGATTATGATTAGCTCTTCTGATCTCCTAATTGTTACAGAATTCCTAGAAACTTTATTGATTTGATAGAGAACTAGATCTTTATGAAGTGATAAAGACAAATGTCATAGTTTGAAATATTTCATCTCATTAAGTTACAACTTTACTGAAAACAAGTATATTATTTGATGGGGTGAAAAGCACTATTCCCTGTAGAATCCCCAAATTACTAGCATCAGTTTAAAAAATCCTGGTCTGCAGCCATTCTGATCACTATTCTATGTCTCTAGCTAAATTATGATCATGACTGACATGCAGAGTCGTTCCCAGTTCAAATGTCTTGCACTGTGTGTGTGTGTATGTTCTAATGTTGATAGAAAACAAGTACTACCCATAGAAGCTCGGATTAAATCTCTGGTCCTGGTGACCGACCCAGATTTGATCTTGCAATAATCCAGAGCTGCTATGCCAAGAGGGAAGGGAAATGAATGGTGTATGACAGCCCTTAAATTGTCATGAATTTAGGGGTGGTTAAACATGTAATGAATGGTGTATGACAGCCCTTAAGTCTTCTGATGTGTTTAAGAAAGTATGTGGGAAGAATTAAAACTAATTATTATAGCAGAGCAATTTATTATGGCCTGGAGGAGTTTATGGTGTAAGGAACTTCAACTCTAGTCAGCCACAGTCATTATGTTAATAACAAGAGTGCAAAATATCTGAAAGATATAATTTTGCCTATTCCTAATAAAAGCTAAAACTGCAACTTTTACTTTCTTCTTCCTCCTAAACTTGGTTTCTCCTTCTCTTTTATCAGAGATCTTGATATTTAGGCAGCATGATATGCAGTTCAGATCTTAGTGTTTCTCATATTGTAGTAGTTGTGACAATATTGTGCTACCTGAGCTTTTGTATGTTGTATCAAGAATGGAGCCTAGGGCATTAGCTGCAGGCTGAGCTTAAGAGCCACCTCATAATTGAAGGAATTAAGGAAACAATCTGATGGACTGCAGAAGCTCTGCTCCATTTAACTCCTGATCTGGATATTAGCTATTTATCGTATACACAGCCTCAAGCATGCTAGATTAGCCTTATACATTTTTGAGTGTATTTAGATTAAATACGTATTTAGATTAAATGTTGCTCATTTAGTTAGGAATGTTGGATTCAATGTGAATCCAAACCAGTTTCAGAGTGGTAGTTTCTCATGGATTCTTTCTTTCTTTTAGGAGAGAAAGATGAACCTTCTGGAAAGTCCATAATAAATTGCATGCAATTTACTTTAATATGCAGAATTTTGCATCTAGTTTTCTCTATTATATGCTTTAATGCAACTGCCTTAATTTATGCTTTAAAATATGTTTGATTCTAGTTTACATTGTCTCTTACACAAATTCCCCAATATTTTTCTTTTTTGAATCATTATTTCAAGTATCTGCTACCGTATGTAAATTTTGTCATAAAAAATGAAAGCATTTTCTAAAATACGTTGCTAGTAGAAAGCATGATGAAAATTATACTTTATATTGTTATGTTTTGATTTAGATTAGACATATTTGTAATATGTATAAAAACAGAACTAGATGGCTAAGTGACTTAATATTATTTTTCTCCAGGAGTGCAGGCTGCATATTTGTGGAGATGCTTCATGGTCAACCACTGTTTCCAGATGTTAGCAATATCTTTGACCAATTAGAGAAAATCTGGATAGTGAGTACAATAATATATATGAGAAATTCATAGTAAAACCATCAGCACTTCAAAATGTTACCTTATCAATACAGATCTGGATGTGTAGCATTGTTAGATGCTCAGAAGTATCTTTCTGTCTCTTCCTTTGCTTTGTGAATTTCTTATAAAATGAATATAAAAATTCAACAAGAGAGGGAAAAAAAGGAGTTTCACTTTTTGTGTGTTTGATCTTCAAAATACAAAAAGCTAAAAGGAGATGCCTTGATACATAATAAATAAATTCATTGTATTCAGTTTTCTGAGCATGTAAAAAACCAGACATACATTGGCTGCAATTTTAAAAACCACCATTATGCAGGAGAACTCCTTTTGGGTTCTTAATTCAATCCATAGCTAAATGCTTGCTTTGAGGTATTTTATCTTAATTGGCATGGATTTATTTGCTCGACGAACGAGTCCTAGGACTTGAGCCTTCAAATTAAGTTTCAGAGGTACTAAGACCACAATGACTTCAAGCAATGCTTTGAAATGAAGTTTTGAACACCTGTCAGAAGATCTGCTTACTGACTTTTCCCTTTCACTTCAAAGCAGTGAGATCTCTCCCGTTCTGACAGTCTGCAGCTTCTGAATGCCTTCTCTTGTAGAGACACAACCTTGATTTTTTGGAAGAGCACTTTGGCTGACCATTCTGACAGCTGCAACCAATGATAAATATGAGAGCTTTTGTACAGTACTTATTTCCTTCTTTCTTGGAAAGCAAAGCTTGCTGGGCCTCTTTTCAGATGACTCATTGAAAACTAGGATCAAGACTACAAAAAGCGTTTTAGAAAATACATTCAGTTTTGTTTCTCATTTGAAAGGTATTGGGGTTCCCAACTGAAGAAACATGGCCAGGAGTTTCCAAACTTTGCCACTACAAGTCAGGTATGATTTCATACCAGTATATAAGAATGTTATATGTCTTCAGCCTATTTGCTGATGCATGGATGTGCTGCTGCTGTGAAAGTTCATTATCATTTGATCACTTTCCCCATTTCCATGTGCAATGAACATGCTCACAGGGGCAGCTTTCCTCCATGAGGAATGCAATAGTCTGCAAACCAGGGGTGAAATGCTCCCGGTTCAGACTGGCTCGGGTGAGTAGGTAGCGATGGCGGCGGGCAGTTCGGAGAACCGGTAGCAAAAATCCCTTCCCCCCGCCAGCTTGCTTACCTTAGCTGCTGTTCGCAACGCCTGCCTTGCTTCGCTTGCTATAATCCCTGCAATCCATTGCATCAGCAAGCAACTGAATCTCCCTGCCTGCAATCAAGCTCATCGGTGAGCAGCTCTATCTCCCTGCCTGCCTGCCTGTAAGTTTTTTTCCCCTTTGGGAGCTTTAAAAAAAATAGTTAATTGGGTTGTTTTTAAGTTATTCTTTTTTTAGACCTAGCCATTTAAAGTTTAGAAAGTTTTAAATTTAGCTGCTTTTATATAAAAATAAAAATAAAATAAAATAAAATTTTTGTGGCTGTGTGAGGTCCCTGCTTGTTGCAGGGGCATTTTGGGTCTAGCACAGCTGCTTTTACATTGTGGGTGAGCCAGTTGTGTTGTGTTGTGTGTGTGTGTGTAAAGTGTGAAAGTTGGTTTTTTGGGCTTTTTGTGGCTGTGTGAGGTTCCTGCTTGTTGCAGGGGCCATTTTGGGTCTAGCACAGCTGCTTTTACATTATGGGTGAGCCAGTTGTGTTGTGTTGTGTGTGTGTAAAGTGTGAAAGTTGGTTTTTTGGGCTTTTTGTGGCTGTGTGAGGTTCCTGCTTGTTGCAGGGGCATTTTGGGTCTAGCACAGCTGCTTTTACATTGTGGGTGAGCCAGTTGTGTTGTGTTGTGTTGTGTTTGTGTGTGTAAAGTGTGAAAGTTGGTTTTTTGGGCTTTTTGTGGCTGTGTGAGGTTCCTGCTTGCTGCAGAGGCCATTTTGGGTCTAGCACAGCTGCTTTTACCTTGTGGGTGAGCCAGTTGTGTTGTGTTGTGTCTTGTAGGTTAAAAAAGGGCAACAAATTGATGTCGACTTGGCCACGCCCACCTGACCAACAAGCCACGCCCACCCAGTCACCTGACCAACAAGCCCCACCCACTAATTAAGCCACGCCCACAGAACCAGTAGTGAAAATTTTTAGATTTCACCCCTGCTGCAAACAGGTTGCTGGGGGTAATGGGAAAACGGTCTTCTTGCAGGATCCAATGTGGGTTGGTCACCGGGACCAGAGGTTTAGTCTCCCGAATTTTTGGGCTCATTCTGGAGCCCATCCTCAGGGAACTTCTCTCCACCAGAATGGGTACACCGACCCAGATTGGATCCTGCAACATTATCCTGGGATACGTATATTTGCCTTCAATCGTGAGAGTCTTCTTGCTTCCCCATTCCATTCCTATAATTCTGCCCAGAATCAGTGAGAAGAAAGGAAGCAGAGAGGGATAGATAGGCCTTTCCTTCCCATCCATCCTGTGGGAATCTTTATCTCTAGAACTTCAAAGGGCCAGTTGTCTCTTAGTGGGATGGGGGCATTTTTTTTTTAAAGGAGCCTTCCTTTCCTTTCCTTTCTATTTAATATTGTCTCATGAGATGTCTTTCAGAACAGCATGACCCAAGTGTTGTGTTATAGGGAAGCAGTGATCAACACCAATGCAAAGAAATGTGAAATATAAAAACCCTGAAACATGAACTCCCTCCTCTGCATCCTGGGAGAAGGGACAGAGTCTGTGTGAAAGTCAGGAGGGCAAGTGGGGGAAGCACTTTCAGTCTAAGTTTTTCAGGTCTAGCAGAGCATAGTAACGTCTCTTCAAAGAGGAGGATGTTGCTCAGATGAGCTTCAGAGGCCCCGGTTTCCCTCCCCTGCTTGAAAACTAAACATCCCTCATTTTCACAGGCTGGCTGGTTTTGTAATGGTGGGGAAACTTTCACACCATTAGCCAAGATTCATTAATCATAGTGGCGTGAAATGGGAATGTGCTGGCTTCCTCAGCAGACTAGAGTTTGTGCCCCATCCTGCCTGCCCTGACATAGTAATTGGGGGTTGGGGAATTAGGTTGACTGCTTTGAATGGGATTCCCCGGGGGAGTGGGAGAAGGGCAGGGGGAGGGCAAAGCCTCAAACCACTCATCAATTCCCTGCTGTTTTTGTAAGGAAAAATATCACAAACCCAGAGAAATCCTTGCTGTGGGAAGGACAGTAGTGAAGCAGTGCTAATAAAAAGTCTCCTCATATGCTTTTTTTAAAAAATGTGACTCTAGAGGGAATACTAGTTAATTAACAACTGTTTTTTTATAATTTAGCAAAATATTGTAGATTTGTAATGCAATTTAGTTGCTATTTGGTAATTTTTGATGTTTTTAAATGGCATCCCCGAAAGCTACCAGTTCAAGGCATTTATTAACTATTCTGTCCTTTCCTTCTTAATGTTGCTTCTAATTAAACAATGAAGAAAATCAAAGAGAAAATTACAATAAATGAAAGACATTGGTTGGACTCCCAAAGCCCACAAAACATTTTCTGAATTCTAACTGAGAAAGTGCTTCATCTGAAATGGATTATAATCATATAGTCAATAGATACCCATTGTTTGAAATGTATTTTTCACAGTGTTGAGAGTAAATTTGTACTTTTAAATTGTAGGTTAGCACTGAAGCAACAATAAAACAAATCAATTTAAAATATTATCATGCCAGATTAAAAATATGATTTGGATCATTATGGAAAGGAAATAATATAATTCTGATGGAAGATGTCTGGATCTTACATAGCACAAATTGACAATTCATTTTTAAAGACAATCTGCTTTTGGGGGGCTGGATGCTGAAACACATGAAAAATGGTTGCAGCAACTGGATATGTCCAATCTAACAAAAAAAAGGAGTAGAGATGACATGATTGCTATCCTTCCAATGTTTGATAGGCTGTCACAAAGAAGAGAGGGACAACCTATTGATATATTGATATCTGATTAATGTAATGTTGAGCATGTAATCTTTGATTGGAGGAATAAAACACATATGAAACAATCACAGAACAGTAGAATTGAAAGAGAACCCAAGGATCTTCAACCCTCTGAAATACATAGGGAAACCAATTAAATATTTGTGAGATGGTGGCCCTCCAGCCTCTTATGAAAAACCTCCAGAGATTGAGAATTTACAATTTCTATAGGTAAACTATTTCACTGATTTCAGATGTCACTTTTCACAAAGTAGAACAGTTACTGTAAGACTTCTGAAGAGACAAAGCAAACTAGGAGAAGATTTGGCTAAGGCATTTACACCTGACTGGGGTACAAGAATGCCCTTCTGTACTGTCTTCTATGACCCCATGGCCTGACCTTTATCTCGTCTCTACATGATTGTGTTTGACTGATTTTGCTGGACCATGGGTTTTTTTTTTTAGTGGTCATTGATGTTTTACTATATCTTGGTTTTTTTAACTTGTTTTTATTGGATTGTTTTTGTCATGAGTCCAATGTCACTTAGGTGAGATTGGTGGCCATACAAATCAAACCAATAAATAAAATCCCCAGACCCCTGGATGAAACAAAGTTATGTCTTTTTTAGGTTTATTGCTATTAAAGTAGAACTTATTCCAGGAGTTGGTCAAGCTATATAAAATTCATCTCACTTTTCCAATAGGGCCAGAAATCCCATTGTGTTTGAGGATATGCAAGGGTTTTAGCAGCTCTTCTGATTGGAAGAGGATTTCACATAATAAATACTAAATGGTTTAAGTATCCATTTGCTTGGATTCACCACAATCAGAGTTATAAGGATATAGGTTCTAAATTAAAAAAGAAGCTTAGGTTCGCTTTTATTAACTCAAATGATTGGCTACATAAACAGTTTTAGTATTTGGTCATTATACCAAATCTCAAACTTCCTGCTAGTCACAGACCATCAGGGTAAAATGAACTGGAGTGACATTATTTTTGCCTTTTCATGGATCCTTGGGAGGAGCAGAAGGTAATTTTTTGCATTTTTAAAAATGTCCTATCTACTAGGCCAGCTACAGGCATAGCAAGGAGCACCTCTTTTCATATGCCCAGCCTCTGCTGCCCAGCACCCTTTGGGGAGTGTTCCAATATCTGGAATGCCTGACCTTGGAAATTCTTGCTTTGAAGACCCTGGGAAGATGGGAGGGGATGGGATCCTTGGGCAAAGACTCTATTTGCTTTGTAGAATTTGGAAGTCTTTCAAACTAGACTTTTTTATTAGGAGACTGACTCCTTCATGGAAATTTATGGGGGGCGGGGGATTGGTTTCTAAACATCTTGATTTTTCACTTGTTACCCTCCTATGTTTTCCCACCATTTTCTTCCTTTTTCTTTAGGCAGACACCGTTGTTAGGAAGAAACAGACTGCATAATGTCTGGTGATTAACTGTGCTAGGACCCTCCTGTCTGGAGGCACTCATCTAATTGATTGCAGTATGTTTGCTCTGTTAAAATCAGATTCAAACATTTGTGCCAGCATTCTCTACCAAGCAGGCTAACAGTTCTATAGTACAGCCATGATAAATATAAGGACAGGAACAGGAACTCCAAGTATATATGACTCGAATTGGTTGTGTTTAACCCTGTGATTGCATATTAATTTTCCAGACAGATTCCTTGGCAGTTGGCCTCAGGGGCTTCAGATGATCTGTGACAGGTAAGCTATCTACAATCATCAAATGGTCCCTTAAAGTCAGTGTGTTCTTTGTGCTTAATCTAAGATAAATCCAAAATAATAGTAATAATCTTCAAACCTAACAAAAATATATATATAAGAGTGCCAATTTCCAAGAAAGGCGTTGATACTTATCATTATCATTACATCCATGAGTTGCCTAAAAGGGATGTTATTTTAATGAAAGCAACAAAGTGAGGATATGAGAGACTAATTTCATGTTACCTGAGGGTGAGAATTGCAGACCAAAGCTAGCATAATAATATATAAACAAGGATCAAACAAGGAGATGAACTGGAGTATATTCAACCAAATATGGCACTTGAAAGCAAAATGGGATCTCTCTCTTCACTAAACAAATGTTCCCTGCCAGATTTACTTCCTGGTTCTAGTTCTTGCAGAGCTTTTTAGGTTTGTACATTTTCTTGAGAATTCTCTCTCCCTCCCTCCCCCCCTCTCTTTTGAGGTCCTTGCTTCCTCTAAGACCTTCTAGGAAAGACTTCCTAAGATAAATGGAACTTCCTCTCTTCCTAGATCCCACCTGCCTTTCCTTTGAGAAGACAGTGGCTCTGTTTAGAGTCCCTAAGTAGACTTCTGCTAGTCAGAAGGCAGCTAAAAATGAAAAGCCTGCTAGTTAAGACTGTTGATGCTTTAATGCTTTGACTATATCAGGGGTGTCAAACTTGATTTCATTGAGGGCCACATCAGGGTTGTGTTTGATCTTGGGGACCCGGGGTGGGGGTAGCCAGGGTGGGCATGGCCATCTTGACATCACTCGTGTCAGGGGCGCCTGTGGTGGCCTGAGAGTTCTGCCAGCAAAAACGGGCTCCCGAGCTCTGTTTTTGGCTGGGACGGCCTCCTGCAACCCTCTGCCAGCATAAACGGAGCTTGTGAAGGCTGCCCGTGGTCCTCAGAAGCTCCGTTTTTGGCTGCGATGTCATCTTGCAACCCTCTGTCAGTAAAAAAGGAGCTTGGGAGGGCTGCACACGGCCCTCGCAAGCTTCGTTTTCACTGACAGAGGTTCCGTAGGCCAGTCCTTTGTTGTTTCCAGGGCGGCCTCGCGGGCCAGATCTAAGTACCCTGCGGGCTGGATCTGGCCCCTGGGCCTTGAGTTTGACACCCCTGGACTATACACTTCCTTCTGTCAGATAAAAGCACTGCCACTAAAACAAATACCCATACACAAATTCCCCACAGATGCTTCTAAGATTCAGAACACCATTGGTTTTGACCTTGACAAACAAACTCAGCACTAGATGAATAAAGATAAATATTGTGGAGTGGAACTAGATAAGACATAGATCCCAGATACCTCTTCTTTAAAGTATCCCGTATTGTTTTGAAGTTTAGGCTATGTCCCAACTTGCACCTAACCACAGCATTAAGCATGTCCTGGCAACAGCTTTCTTGCCAATGTAATCACATGGTGTTTCCTTCCTTTTGCGTATCAGCTTAAGTTGTCCCTGATTGTATCAAGTGTTAGAGTAAATATTTTTCCCATTATTCTGACATTACAAAATGACAATTTCAAGGTCTGGCGAAAGGGCCATCAAGGTCTCCATCTATTCTGGATGGGCAGGAAAATATACTGGCATGAGATGTGCTGTTCCTGTCCCAATTCTGTCCTATTTTATTTCTCCGTCACTGCAGTTGCCTCACTTCCCTTTGGGTTGAGCTAATATTAAAGTATCTTGGTGTCACTTATATATTTAACTTTCCAATTGCAATTGAGCTACAGTTCGAATTTTGCTCTCAGTTGTAAATACGCTGCTCCTTTGATTATTTCCTCAGTTGTGAAAAAAAAATCACACACCACTTAGACTTCAAATGTAGTTAGACCCATATGCATGTTTTTGTTGGAAGGGTAGTGAGAGAAGAAGAGAGAGCCAGTTCAGGCAGGGTGAAGCTCTTTCGAAGTGAAATGCCTGCTGGGATGGGTTGAGGAGAAATCCGGCAGGCTGAGTTCCCATGAGCCACTGGGTTCTTTGAAGAAAGAAAGAAGCCCATTAAAAGTTATAAAAGACAAATGTTTTGTTTCCTTGCTTCCTCCCTTCCTTCTATTTTTTTAAAAATATTTTTATTTTTTTTAATATAAATAGAAAGAGCAACATACTCAATATCCATATAAACAGTGTGTTGTCTGGTTACAATTCTTTTGAATAATACTCATCATAGTAATAATAATAATAATCTCTAGTAATAATCACGTAATGACAGTGTTTTTCCCTCATCATATTAATACATATCAATTATTACTAATCAAAATTAATAAGTTACAATAATGAACCCTAATAGTGAAATTAATCTTTCTCTTGTAATTTTAGAAGTTCTAACTTCTGTTTCTCTTATTTAACCATTGATAGAGCAGATCCAATATCTCAAAAGATTCAGTGTCTTCCTTTTCTTTAATTTCAAGTTTATTTATTATTTAGTTTATTTATTTCTGCACATTCTAAGATTTTTGTTATTATCTTTTCTTCTGTAGGGATCTCCTCGCCCTTCCAAACAGAACTCTGGCTGCTGTTAACACATATACTATTAAATATACATTCCTTTTACTGTATTTTTCCTCCATTCCTTCTAGTTCACTTCCTAGATGCCAAGATATTTGACATTAGGCTTTGCCACATATAGATACACATCACCTATATCTATTTATATCCTTAAAAACCTTAAATCTTAAAGGAACCTGGGAACTGTTTTAAATCAATAAATAGCCACAACCTTTCCTAGTGGCTACTAAAAGGATAAGAACTTCTGTGCAGGTATGCTTACAAAATGAGACATTGTAATTACTTGTCGAGTGAACTTCTGGAGAACTTTCTTCAGAAAGTTCTCCAGTAATTGATTAATTAACAATGATTGGCATAGTGATTTAAAAATTTTACTTTTTTCTGCATCCTCCTAAATTACATATCAATGTTTCCTTCTTCTTATAAGCATATCTTTTAAAATCAATAAATCTCAAAACCAACAATTCAGTTTTATCCAAGCTATTTAATCACCTGTATAATTACTGTGGATAAAGCTGAACATTTTATTAACTTTTTTTTTTTTAAAAAAAGCAGATATGTCATACTAATCTCATTCAACCATGCAAATTTTAAATGAAACAGCAATATGGATTGCATTACTTTGCTTTTGGTCTAGTTTTACAAATAATGACTTCTTTTCCAGACTGATGATTTTGAAAATATATTCCACTGAGAGAACATCTAAATATGTATCTTAACACTTAAATATAACTACTTCTGAATTTAAAAGAATTTAGAAATTTCTTGATTTATCCATATATATTTAATACTTATACTAATTTAAAGGTAAACTTCCTTTTTCTTTCTCTCTTTCCTATCCTATCTTTTTCTTTGGATTCTTCTCATTCTGGCTTACATATTAATTAATATTTTTCAAAAGCTAACAGCAGAGTTTGAATTCCTAGAATTTAATTTTCCTGTTTTTGTCTTCTAGGCTGATCAAGGTGCCTGAGGCTGAAGACTTGGCAGGAAGAATGCTAAAAGTACATCCACAAAATAGGATTTCTGCACAACAGGCACTTTTTCATCAGTTCTTCAATCCCCTGCCCTCTGAACTGAGCCAGCTTTCTAATGGTATGTAAATCTCTGTTCCCTATCCACTCTCAGGATATCAGAATGATCGTATTTATTTCAATAACTTTTGGTGAAAGGTACCATAAACACAGTCATGCATAAATGAGGTCAACTTTATTACAGCCTGTAGTCAGCAAATAAAACAGATTTTCAAAGGAAAAAAAGCATCAAAATAGATAAACACAAACAAGCATATACAGCTTGGGCATGCCTTCTTTACTAAGAACATAACGCCAGAAAACTCCAGTGAAAGAAACCATGAAAGGCTATAAGAACCACATTCTTCAGCCACTAAATCAAGAACAGACAATATTTTGAGGGTCTGGGTAGTTCTGGAATGTTTAGAGCATTTTGCAATTGGATATAAAGCATTCACTTCCCAGAAGGCAAATAAGTAAGACCATGATAACATCTTGTGACATTGCCTGAAAAAACTATTGAGCCAATAGGTTTTGAGGAAATGATGGTGGCTTTTACTAGAGGTTGTTCAAGCAACAGGCAAGGCACTCACTAAGAAATTGTTCCCTGCCAAAGGACAGAGTATTGTACAGGACACTTGTCTTCCAAGGCAGCAGATGGCTATTGTCCCATGTAAATTTGCCTCAGTGTATCCTTACCTTTGTTTTTTTTTCCTTTCGTCATAGCACAGTCCATCTTCACAGTACCTGGAGTGATGCTCAAACAAGAAATGTGTGACCTCTTTTTTTCGTCTCAGAAGGCCCATCAGGAAAATAGTTCAAGCAAGTTTTGGTGAAAGAAATGAAGGACTTTTTTTTTTTCAAGAGAGAAAGGAGGCAGACAAATAAAACCATATTGTTTATTATCACTAGCTAAGACAAATGGGGATAAACTATGTACATATTTTACGAATCCTGGATTTCAACTTACATGCCCCATGATTGGATTAGCGATGGGTGGCAGAGGAAGAGATATGGATATAGTACAAAACAGAACTTTTCTTTCTGCAATTCCAAGAGGAAATGCAACTCTTAATACCAAATTTTCCAAATATGCGGAGTGGAACACAGTGTACCACAGCATCGGTTTTAGTTTCATCAGTTTGACTCTAATTGTCCAGAACTATTATCCTACGCTGACCTTCTGCCATTGTTAATGGCGTTATTCCTTTACAGTTCCATATTAATGGAACTTTTTAAAATGTGCATTGTATGTAGCTGATTTAACATTTAGCTGAATTCTTTGCTTCTAAATTGCCTCATTCATGAATCTTCTGTCTACAGTTTAGATCCATAAATCCTATCTTACCGCCCCATAGCATCAATAACAGAAGATTCAATAGTAACCTAGCCTTATGCAGGTGCCGTTTTATCTTTGTAAATACTTTTCCAGGCACCCAAACATGACTCTCACACATTATATTTCCAAGACTGTACTCACCAATTCTTGGAAAGCAAGGAGGGAGTTCCTGGGGTGATTTGATTCAGTAGTATTTGAAGGCTGAAGAGGCTTCAAATACAAGGCTTATTGTAATATTTAAGGTTCAAATGATGTTACCCAATTTCATAGGAGATCCATTGTTTGTGGAAGCCATGTTCCATAAGTGCATGGTGTTTTAAAAAAAGTCAATTTTTGTGGGCCAGAAAGAAAATGTTGTATTAATTCACAACTATTTGAGCAATACGTTTAATCCTTTCAGACACAAATTGAGGAGTTCAAAAATTTCAGTTTCCACTTTGTCCAGTGTTAATTTTGATGCGCCACATTTTCACATTAATTTGATAAGTTTAAAAAAACCATACAAAAATCATACAGATTCCTCTTTAATATAACTACATAACCATATTGTTTATAATTTTGTCATATACATTTTTGCAGTACGTATTTCACAAACAATATGTATTTTATATATTATTTTCACTAGCATAAGCAATTGTATACACCCTTGACATGTTTGTGCGTATTTAATTGGAGAAATGGAAGATTTTTTAAAAAATGCTTATGTCAAACAATAATTGAGTTTTTGTTGTGACTTGATCTGAACGTGCAAAATTTAAGTAATGTTAAATGCAAGTTAAACTGGCTATCCCTACTCTTTTAATAATTTTAATTCCCTTTATTTTCTTACTAATATTCAGCACTGCCTCTCATCTTTGGATATATAACTTACTCAGTTTGAGCTGGCCTGTTTCTTTTTAAACTTTTTTTTCTCATTTAATTTGCAAAGTTGTACATTCGTAAAGAATTTCCCAACAAGTGAAAATGGTTACCTAATTTGTGGGATTCCTTATTTCATTTCCAAAAGTACACTCTGTCTCTGAGATTAGCAGCAGTTAATATTTACATTTTTTTGCATAAACATGTAGACATTTGTCTCCAAAATTTGCATTCAAAGGTGATACATAGATCTTTCACAATGCGTTGTCATAAGACATTTAGAAGTCCAGCTGTTCCGTTCCATTCTTGCTCTTCATCCAGGCTTCCATTGTTCTTCAATACTGTAATGATTTGGGACTCCTGTTTTAGGCTGTAATCCTCTGAAGGATCTTAACATTAATAAAATTTAAGGTGTCTTTGAGTCTGTTGCTTACCTCCCAACTGAATTATCATGTAGGTTTGGCTACAAAGGCAATGCATTTCCTTCTCAAAGACTGTATAACATGAAGAGAGATCTTTCTCTCCCTCTAAGTCATTTCTTCAGTAGTTCCATGTATTGCTCTCAACTACAACCTAACACCTACCCAATTATTTGCGATATTTGCTCTCTGGAGAGACAGACCCATCCAATACTAAGATAGCATTCTTCCCAATGCAGATAGGAAGACACAGGGTGCTGTTTTCTTCTCCTGGGTAGGTGTTAGTCTTCTTGCCAAGGATTGCCAGTTGGCAAATCTTTGGATAAGGTGTAGAATCTTTCTTTTCCTTGCTGCTTCTTTCTTCCCATGGTCCCACCTTGAAATGCCTCTTCAACAACAATTTTCGCAGGTTTGACAACCTACAGAAATTTGAGATTAAAAGATTAAGATTAAAATACAGTTTTCAGTCTTCTAGTCTATATGTTGAAGACCTAAAGATATTTTTATGATACTGTTTATTGTTTATATAAAATACTTTGTATAACATAAATAATTATAATTTAAGTGAGGAAAACAGCATAAGAAGGAAAGAAAATCGTATATTTTATTTTAAACCTTTTTAGAATACAATAGAATAGAATTCTTTATTGGCCAAGTGTGATAGGACACACAAGGAATTTGTCTTGGTGCATATGCTCTCAGTACATAAGAGAAAAAAATACATTCATCAGGAATCATAAGATACAACACTTAGTGATAGTCATAGGTTACTATAAGCAATAAGCAATCAAATCATACTAGGAAACAATATAAATCGTAGAGATTTACAAGCAACAAGGTTATAGTCATAAGTGGGAGGAGATAGGTAATAGGAAGGATAAGAAGAATAATAGTAATAGTCTTAGTAAATAATTTGACAGTGTTATGCGAATTAGTTGTTTAGCAGAGCGATGGCATTCGGGAAAAAACTCCTTGTGTCTAGTTGTTCTAGCGTTGTTTTGAGGGTAGAAGTTGAAACAATTTATGTTCAACTTCTATCAAATTTATAAATTTGAACATAAAATAAATTTATGTTCATTTATGTTTTGAGGGTAGAAATTGAAAAAAAATATTTCCACAGATTCCTGCTGAAATATTTCTGTTAATTGAAAGCAGTATTTTGGGAGAGATAAAGTTGAGTATTATTAAATAAATGCTGAAATTACTGAGATTTACTTACATGTTTCCCTCTTTCTTTCTAAAACAAGTGTTGGAAGTGTTCAGTTGCTGGGATAGCTGTCATAACGGAAGGCATGAGGTCATAGTTAGATGTTTGAGGAACAACCCTTTGAAAGTAGTCAACATTCTTTTTCAGTTGCAATATTTTTCAAAAAATACTTATTTGAATTCGACATTCTGTTTCTCTTATGAACCTCCTTTTTATTTATTTATTTATTTATTTTATTATATTTCTATACCGCCCTTCTCCTGCGGGACTCAGGGCGGTGTACAGCCAGGATAAAACATAGCATATAAAATTTAAAAACATTTAAAAAACAATTAAATAAATTTTGGCCCGAATTTAAAACAACCCAATTAAAACCGAAATTTGATTAAAAAACAGAGAGGTTGGGATCAAGCCAGCCCAGCTAGATGGAACAAGTGCGTCTTCAGGGCCCGACGAAAAGTCCGGAGATCTGATATCGTGCGTATCTCAGGGGGCAGGTCATTCCAGAGGGCAGGTGCTGCCACAGAGAAGGCTCTCCCCCTGGGGGTCGCCAGCCGGCACTGCCTGGCCGACGGCACCCTGAGGAGGCCCTCTCTGTGCGAGTGAACCGGTCAGTGGGAGGCTATTGGCGGCAGGAAGCGGTCTCGCAAATACCCCGGCCCTAAGCCATGGAGCACTTTAAAGGTGGTCACCAACACCTTGAAGCGCACCCGGAAGACCACAGGAAGCCAGTGCAGCTCGCGCAGGAGAGGTGTTATATGTGAGCGCCCCGTCGCTCCCATAATCCCCCGCGCAGCCGCATTCTGGACCAACTGCAGCCTCCGGGTGCACCCCAAGGGGAGCCCATGTAGAGAGCATTGCAGTAGTCCAGGTGGGAAGTGACGAGTCCTTGCGTGACCGTGCGTAGGGAGTCCTGATCCAGAAAGGGACGCAACTGGCGTATCAGGCGAACCTGATAAAAAGCCCGCCTGGCCACGGCCGTCATATGCTCTTCTAAAGACAGCCGTGCGTCCAGGAGGACGCCTAAGTTGCGAGCCCTCTCCGTGGGGGCCAGTGATTCGCCCCCAATAGCCAGCGATGGGCGGCCTTTAAAAAAATTATATATTACAGTATTTGATTTCCTTTTTTTTGGGTCTCTATGACTATAAATAAAGCCATGACAGTGATGATGACAATAGCATCAACTTTCATGGCTTTTCTTCCCAACCTTCCTAACTCAAATAAAATTGGTTGATGCATTTTTCTCTTTTGTCCACAGATTTGTTGATACAGGATTAAGAAGATTAACATCATCTACATCTAAGTCTTCTGGCAAGATATTTTCCATCCTGTTCTAAAATCTGCAACAGTTTTATTTTACAGAAACTGTATTTTTCCCCCTAGGAGCTTGCAATTTCATCCTTAAGAATTGTTTGTATTTTGACAGCCCACAAATAGAGGAAGTGACCATAAACAGTTGTAGTCCCTTCTGGATTTTTGTGTCAATATTTAATATTTTATATGAATTCAAAGAGAAAAAGCACAGAAGATAAGGTTTTACTCATAATTGTAGTTACATCTTCTATTTCACAAACTATCAGCTGACACAAATTGCTGTTAATCTTTGAAATGTATTATTTATCTATAGTGCTTTGGATGCTAGAGAAATAGAATGGGATACTGTTAAAAGATGTACAATCCTCTGATACCTAATATTTTCTCACTTTTTCTCACTTATGTTTTATTGCGGATGCATCAATTTTAAGCTCTGGCTCCGCCCATGGCTGGTTTATACTGCTGAATGACTTTTGCTATGTGTCAAAAGTTCTCCAAATTTTTCCTATTGCTTTCATAAGATGATATTTGTTGAAGAATAATAGCATATTTGGGATTGGTTTAATTGTTTGGGACAGAATTTCAAGCTCAAAAGAAACATTACCTATTCAAAGATAACAGATATTCAGAAAGATAGATGAGAAGATTGATGAGATGAATGGCATGGGCTTCGTAGAACACTAACTTTGTTGTACAATATCTCACTTTCTATCTGGTTCTTCACTGTTAATTGTTTGGAATCTGTTCCCGACTCTCTCTTGGTATTCCAATATACATCTGTCCTCCAGAAAAGGCTGTCATAAGGCACCAGCCTTTGTATGCAATGCAGTGGTGGAGGGGAGTTATACCTTTGGAAATCTGAATCATTTGAGGCACATCATTGATATTGTGTTTTTATTGTGCAGATTGAGGACTATGAATGAGCCATTAGAAATATTATTGCAAAAGCAATGTAATCATAGAAACATCACCAATGATGAGCTATGGGGCTAGCCTTTAGATTATAGAATAAATAAGTACTGTTTTATAAGTGGACATCCAGTGTAGTAAAATGCTGGCATTTGTGACTGACAGTAGCAGGACTGTTAGAATATCTCCTGAGTCATTCACAGCATGTTAAAGGCATAGCTTTTCTTCTTGGCAATATCCTAGTATTTGGAATCTATCAAGAATTGCTGGCTTTTGGAGCATGGGCCTTGCTAAAAAGAATGAATGTAGAGTGAATGAATGTAGAAATCTGGAAGGAGACAACTTTCAAGCAACATGGCCAATGTTTTGGGAGATGTTCTGTTTAAATCATAAGTAAATTTCCAGGCCTTTGATTCCATCTTTTAAAAATGCTATGCTTATTAGTTTGAAGTTGATTTATCTTTTAATAAAGCCAGCTTGCCTCAGTCGTTAAGACAGTAGGCTAGAAACTGGAAGATCATGAGTTCTGGTCCCACCAAAACTCACAATCAGGAAGCCAGTTGAATGACTTTGGGTTAGGCTTGCTTTGTCTTAGTTCTTGGAAGAAGACCACTTCCAAATAACCTTGCCAAGAAAACTATAGGCACTTGTCCAGGCAGTTGCCAGGAGTTTAACACTGACTTGAGAATTGTTCCCTTCTCATTAGTCTCTATGTCATTCTATTGCTTTCCCAGATATATGCATACATACAGTAGATGCCTTCACTCCCCCACCACCTTCCCACAGATCTCCTTTGACCCTAAAGCAGACCATTTCTTTTTCTACTTTCCACTTATAGTATCATTGTTGCTCTGATGCTAACTCTAGTCCAAGCAACAGCAAAAAAAAAACAGGCTGTTCTTTCATTCCTGCATTCCTTTGTAGATTCATGGAAACTTGTAACAAGGAACAACTGATGGTTCGGCTTCATAAAAACAAAATGATGATGATGAAAGAAGGGAAGCTTTGGAAAGATTGGGAAAGCAAGGAAAGAATGCTTCATTCAGCCTGGGCAGAAATTGAAAAGGTGCCCACTGGCGATATAAGGGCTGAACTGAGTATGAGCTTCTAGGACTGAGCTTAATTCATTGGTTTTGGTGGGCCATTGTTGGATAAAGTGCAACATTACACTTTAAAAAACCCTCAACAACTATTAACCAGTAGAGTACATATCGAGGAGAAGGAGCTTATCTGTTCCAATGCTGAGAAACCAGAGAGTGACCCTTCCTGGCATGGCATATAAACTATACAAGGTGCTATTATTCTTCTAAAGAAAGTTTTATTTCTCTCTCTGGATTCCTTGTGAATATTGTAAGGTGTGACAATACCTATTTTTAGCAGAAAATGTAAATATTTGCTTAACAAAATGGTCCTAGGATGACATGCTATAATTTATATATGATGCTGGATTAAGGCATTCCTTTTGACCGTAGGAACACTATGAATTAACAACTTAATACTGTAGCAGTATCAGTACTATATATGCTTTCATGTAATGCTACATAAGAGTATTAAGGTTTACAAGTAAACAGAATTTTGTAGTAAACTCTCATTCTCTGAAAGTCTCAAAGGTGCTTTTTCAAAAGGCAACTGGACTGTGTTTTCCTTGAGGAAGGCGTTTCACTTCTCAAGGAAAAAACATAGTCCAGTTGACATTTGAAAAAGCACCTTTGAGACAATCATGATCTGGATGACTGAAAATCTCCATAGACATTCTCTGAAACCAATGAACATATGTTTTGATGGTAACTGAACCTGTCTGAGATGCTTCAAGTCAGCCAGTTTTCAAATTTTTGTAATACCTTTGGATTTTTGAAGTGGTTTTGGGTGATGAATATAAAGCTTCATCTGAGAAAATATGTAGAAAAATAATTAGCTTTGTATGTTTCTTTCTCTCATTCTCTCCTGAGTGTAGCAAAATAGAGCATTTCTGTTTAAAAGAAATACTTTAACATAGAATTCCAGTGTGTTAAATTTAAAATTATATTCAGCACATTAATATATATCTGATAATTATCCCACAAATACTAAACTAAAATCATCAGGAATTCCCTTTGATGCTTGGCTTGTTTCATCAAAACTTTTAAGCCAATTAAGCTGATAGCAGGTAGAAAGAAGTCCACAAAAGTGACTTTAAAAATATATATCTTTGATTTTACAGTACTATCTTGTTCCATTCTTTCTTTTTAATTAAGTTCCGTTGCTCCTCACCTTCCTAAGTGGGTAGAAAACTAAAACTCATCTTGCCCTAGACCTCCAGAGGCCAGATAGACTAGTCCCACCATCGGTTGCTGGAGGGCAGTCAGCTGTGTCACGTCATCAGGAGGTCAGAAATAGTTCCTGCTTCCATTGCTTTTTTGCCCATCCTTGATCATTCTGTTTCTCTGTTTGAGTAAGGAAATGTCTCTGAAACATTGACCCAACAGGTCACTTGTTGTCTAGTACAGTTAATATCAACTAAGGACAATTTAAAGCTGTCTCAACTATGGGACAGTGAAAAGGTGAAGGCAAGATCATGGGACATAATAGAAACGGTCAGATGTGTTTGTGCCATGGTTTGGTGCAAATGGGGAAAAGCACATGAAGGATGAGTTCTAATATTCGAGGTGATTTCCCAACTCCAGGTGACACTGCTAATATCAGGCCTCCGAAGTCAGAGCTCCAGAATTATTACAGATACCAAGAAAAAGGGATTATGGAGGTTTTGAATCCACAGGATTCAAACACCTTGTACTTGTGAAATGACTTGAGTTCCAATGAAGAAGTAGGAAAAAGTGGAAGAATCATCAAAAGAAAAAAAAATGTATACAA